CCATCCCTTCTCCACACATTCTCTACACCTATTTTGTCGAGCTGTGTAGCACAGCATTGCTTAGATGCCAGGACAATAGTTGTCCTAGATGGTGCCTTGCCATTTATTTAATAGTAAGAATCCATATGTGATGTCTCATTTCTTGCAGAGGTCTGTCTCTGCACCTCTGCAGAAACTCAGTGTGACTGGAAACTTAATCGGCCACAGTGGTGTCCTGCTGTTACTTCTGCTGGATGCTGCTCTGTTTGTCAGTTCATCATTAGATAGTGCACTGCTCAGGACAGCTTTCTGTTCAGTATTGCTTATACAAATGTTTGGCAGGGATAGCCATTGTGGTAAGATTTGAGGAATTCAAAAAGAATCCTGGCCCAAATATATCTCCCTCGCTGGTCACAGTGCCTGAAATGTGTACAAGAAACATTTCACTTGAACTTTGTTTCTTTGGTATAAGGCAATGTTGAAGTGCAAATGCCACTCTCCCGAGGCAAGGTATTGAATCACTCACTATTCAGCTATTAATACTTACAGTCAGAACTGCATTAGAATCCTAATTTGATTATAAGCTATATGATCTTAGGTAACTTGCTAATTCTCTCTAATCCCCTCTTCTGAAATTTGAGATAATGACCAATGGTTGTGAGAATCAACTGAGATGATGCATGTAAAGCACACAATAAATGCTCAATGAGCAGTAGCTGTTCTTAGCCTTAGGTACAGAAGGATCCTGAGGGAATACATCTAGGACTAGTAAATTTGGTTTGAGGGCCAGGAATCAGGTGAGGTCTGTCTGGTACAGGGAAACTGCTCAAAGCAAAGACCCTGATGGGGTGGTGATACAGCCAGGAAATAGCATGGAAACTCTGGGGACCCTGGGTAGGAAGAGTTGGGTGGGAGGAAGAGGGAGGACCAAAACAAAGACAAACAATACTTATATGAACTTTCCAACAAGAAAATTATAGTATTACTCAGGATCTAATGCTTTGTGAGGTAGTAATCTCTGATACCAGAAGTGTTCAAGCAGAGGTTCGATGCTGGCTACCCATCTCTGGGGAAAGCCAGAGAGTTACCCAGACAAATCTCCATAGAGTGGAAGGACATTGACAGAGTCTGGTTTGTGAGCTTTGAACTTTGATTGGTAGTATAACCAGAGACTGAGATCCTGGAGACTGACTCACACTTAAGTAAATTCACAAAATACCAATATATAAGCCAGAATACTAATTGATTAATTTATAACGAGAAGTATAATTCCAAGTGGACCAGATACTAGTGTTTGCCCATCAGTACATTATCTCCCTGTAGGCATATTTACATGAGGAGCTAAATACTAATAATAAGGTTGCTTGGTAAGGATGAATTCATAGCAAGGGGAGTTCATGAGGTAATTTTAATGGTTAATAGTCTGATACCTCCATCTCCACAATTGAGAAAGACCTCCAGAATAGTACTGAGGATATTAGCTTCCTCACTAGTCTCTCTGTGTCCTGTCTTGCCCTTAATATAATCCAGAGGATCTATTTAGTCCTAAATCTGATCATATTCCTTTGTTCCACATACTTTAATATAAATTCATAATTTTAAACTCATCATTACAAAAAGTTTAAAATATGGAGAAAATTTCAAAAATAATACATTGAGCACTTATATACCCATCATCTGGATTTAATAATAATTCTTTTGCCATATTTACTTTATGTGTGTGTGTCACGCATGCACGCACTCAAATGTGTTTGTATGTGTATTGAGTTCACACTCTTTAACATAGTTTTCTACACTCTTCATGTTCTGGCATAATCTAGTTGACCAGTGTTACTTTCCTTGGCTCCCTCTTTGCAACTTATATGCCCACCATACCTAACTACTGAATGTTAGTTCCTTGGATGTTTCCTGTTGTTCTTATGTAATATACTATTGCCTATGCCTGAATATCCTTACTCTCTTTGCTTGATTAACTTTATTTGTTCTAAAAGACTCAGCCACACCCATGTTGCCATAGCATCCAATGTTTTCTCCAGTCATAACATTTATTACACTGTACATTATTGTCTGTTTACCTCTTTGACTTTCCTACTAAACTGTGAACTCATTGAGGGCAGGGACTGTTTCTTTTGTCTCTGTATACCCATACCTCTCCAGTGTCAGGTGTTCAGTAATCATAAAATCCACCAACTGCCTACAAGAGAGTTCGACCTAGTTATATCATAGATACCTGAAAATCAATTTGTCTACACTGGACTCATCTCCCCCTCCTACACATTCTATAAATTTAAAAACTTCTTCCTGATTAATCAAGTGTCACCCAGTCTTCCAAACCAAAGCTTCAGAGACATCCCTAACTCTTGTCTCTCTTTTATAACCCAAACAAGTCCTATTGATTCTACATCCAAAGTACATTCCCAATTTATCTATATATCTTCATTTCCACTACCTGTTTATCCAGGCCACCTTCATCCCTTACCTGGAGCACTGCCAACAACCTTCTATCTGGACTCCCTGTTTCTACTCTTTTCCCCTCCAATCTATTGTATACAGAGAAGCCATAATGATCTCTAAAATTCATATCTAATTATATATTACTCCCCTTTTAAACCCTGGTCATATTACTGCTTGCTTTTGGATAAAGTCCAAACTCCCTAGCTTTACCCAAAGGACTCTCAAGAAATGACCCTCGTGGACCTCTACAACTTTATCTCTTGTGCTCTGGGTTGTATCCAACCATATTGTTTATAGAGCCTGTAGTGTTTGTTGCTACCCAACATTTTCAGTTTCATGCCTCAATACTTTCCCTTCTATGCCTAGAAAAGCTAACCTTCTCAAAGTCAGCACAGGTATAACCTCCTCTGGAAAGCTTTTCCTTATTTTCCAGTGGGTTAGGTTCCTCTTCTCTTTTATTACCCACTACTGCCCTATGCATACCTCTATCAGAGCACTTACACTATATACATGTAGTACTCTATTCGGCAATCACAAGTTTGCTTGTTGGTTTCATCAAAGTTAACTTTTGAAAACAGAATTCATGTCTTATTTTTTTACCCCAATGCTTAGCCCATGGCCGGTATTCAGTAGATGTGCAATAAATATTTATTTTTTTAAAAAGAAAGAAAGAATGTTAACAAACTTCATTTTTGTAGGTACTTTACAAAAATATTTCTTTTCTTTTGAACACATTGTTTCTTCAAATTACAATATGGTTGATTGTCATACAGGTAATATTGATTGAATTTTGAGAGCTCTTCACTAACAAATTCAGACAATTTCTGGAATTGTACTATTTCTGAGAGGTGGCTGATCCTACCATTTTCTTTTCCCTAGTTAATTTTTATCTTAGAGATTAACATCATTAATAGATATGAGTGCCATGCTATTGGCCCCATATACCTACCCCTGTGATATCTAAAGTACATTTCAATTCCTAGGGTTCATGCCCATTTATTTGGATTCTAGGTGCTATTTGATTATGATATTAACTTTCCACTAGGTCCGTGGTCAGCAAACTGCGGCTTTCGAGCCACATGCGGCTCTTTGGCCCCTTGAGTGTGGCTCTTCCTAAGCCTTAGGAGTACCCTAATTAAGTTAATAACAATGTACCTACCTATATAGTTTAAATTTAAAACATTTGGCTCTCAAAAGAAATTTCAATCATTGTACTGTTGATATTTGGCTCTGTTGACTAATGAGTTTGCTGACCACTGCACTAGGTTTATCTCGAGCTATAAAAGTATGAAGTGCAAATTGTCACATGCTTAATTTTGGGGAATAATATTGATTAAGTAAATGTTGGGCCGAGACTGAGGGGAGTGATTGGTCAGGAATTTAACAAATGTTGGACTGGATAAAGTAAATTATATTTCTTTGGACTGAAAAAGTTACTAAAGCTGAACATTCTGAACATCATTTTCTCTGATTATTACCTCAAAGTAACAACTTTAAGATTATTTTAAAAGTATTGTGTCCCTGAACCTGCTTAAAAATAGTTTAACAGATATAATTTTTACATTCTGCTTAGTACTGTCTCAAGTGCTTTTACACATGTAAACTCATTTAACCATCTGAACAACTCTAAGAGGTAGGTACTATTATTATCCTCATTTTACAGATGATGGAGACACTGAGGCACAGAAAAATAATTTCTCCAAGGTCAAAAGTTATCTGAAACCAGATGTATTAATTAGGTTTAATCCAATGCATATTTATTGAGCACCCACTAAATGTAATAACCAACAGAGTGCATAAAAATTGTACACTTAAAGTTAGGAGAAATGATAATGCAATAGTGTCATGAGTGAATTGTCAAGGTGAGTCACACTTCTTTTAGTTAGTGGTTAATGAAGAAAGATGATGTAGTTAATGTCATGAATTGTACAGACATATCTATTTGGATAAACTTGGTTTGTGGACGACAAAGAAAAGAGTCTTAGTTGACATGTGTGAAAACGAAATTCTCTTTTTGAAGACTCAGATTACTTTTAGAAGGGGTCTCTATGCAGTATATTTCACATGGGGTAAGGGTAAGAGGGAAATACACAGGTATGACACACACACACATTGGAGCAGAATGTGTGTGTGTGTGTGTGTTAATGCGCTTTTCCTGCCTCTCCCTTCCTCTTGAGACTCAATAAAGGGCCTGCCCACAGCACCACCCAATTACCCAAATTCTCTTTACTAGAACTCAGAACCTTCGGATCTGCGCTTTTTAGAAGTACTTTCACATTCTGGCACCTTAAGCCTGAAAAGCTTTTTAGGCAAATGTTAGGATGAAAAATGTGCTACTGAAAAATCAAAACAAACTCGAATGCTACCAAAGAGCTTTTTTAATTTAGCAGATTCTAGCTCCTCACCTGTCCATTTTGTCTAAAACCACGCGACACACCTGGCTACACGGCCTCAGTTCCTACTCTGTCCATACTGTTACCCTTTTAAGAGGGGGATCCCGCAGTGTCCTTTCCTCCTCCCAGCCACCTCTACCCCCAGTCGGCTGGGCGGAGCTTCGTGCCAAAGCCCCAGAGCCCTACGCGGCCGCGGCCGCAGCGAAAGCGAAGAGTACTGGAGCGGCGACAGGCTGCTTCTGCGGCAGCGTCTACTCAGAGGATACGTGCCTCTGGGCTGGAACGGAGCTCGCTGCTCGCGCAAGTGTCTCCCCGCCCCTCCCCACCTGGCGCGCACCTGGTCAAGGCCTAGGTCCTGCCGCCAGCTAGGAGGGCGCGTGTCACGGGCCCTAGGGAACCGCAGAGCGCGCGCGCCATGGGGCCACCGCCCGGGGCCGGGGTCTCCTACCGCGGTAGCTGCGGCTTTTCCCGGTTGCTGGCGTGGTGCTTTCTGCTGGCCCTGAGTCCGCAAGCCCCCGGCTCCCGGGGAGCCGAAGCTGTGTGGACCGCGTACCTCAACGTGTCCTGGCGGGTTCCGCACACCGGAGTGAACCGCACCGTGTGGGAGCTCAGCGAGGAGGGCGTGTACGGCCAGGATTCGCCGCTCGAGCCAGTGGCTGGGGTCCTGGTACCGCCCGACGGGCCAGGGGCTCTCAATGCCTGTAACCCGCACACGAATTTCACGGTGCCCACGGTCCCGGGGGACTGGGGACGCAGCGTTCATGTCTCTTGGTTGGCCCTCATCCAGCGCGGAGGGGGCTGCACCTTCGCAGACAAGATCCATCTGGCTCAAGAGAGAGGGGCGTCTGGAGCCGTCATCTTTAACTTCCCAGGGACCCGCAATGAGGTCATCCCCATGTCTCACCCGGGTGAGTGCAGCTACTAAATTGTGCCTTTTCAAACCCCTTCCAAGGCCAGTTTCTCTTATTTTCCTCGATGCTCTCCTCCTCCTCTCCCTTTGCTCCGAAAGAAAACCAGTGCCCGTTCCGTCCCCACGGAATAAAACAGGGGCCTCTTCTCTGGGCGATTTACCCTGCCTTGGGGGTTGGGCGGAAAAACCCTTTACAATTTGTCTCTCTGGTAGAAAAGGGTAAGACAAACAGAATGCGGAGGCTGGCAACTGGAGGAGTGTTGGGGCTCTTTGTGTCGCCTTTACCTGGTGTTTCACAAGGGTGCCTTGCATTGGATTAATTGGTGGTGGACATTGGTTTTGAAATGTCTTGGGAGAAGGCTTCCTGAAAATCCCTTCCTCACTCTTTTCCTGTTTAACAACCTCAGGCCTGCAGCAGATTTTCCCCTCGCCTCTCCCTGTTTTTCTCTTCGTGTTTCCTAGGATCAGGTACAAAGATTGTGTTACTGTGCCCTGTTAACCTCATTGCAGTTTTGGTGGCAACTTTGCTTTACTCTTGGGCTCTTCTCTGCCCAGGGGTCTCAGGGCCCAAGTGTTTGTTGGTATCAGTGCTTTCTTTTGCCTTTGAAAAGTGACAAAAGAGGTGATTAATGTTATTGAAAAAAGAAGAGGTTTATGCATAAGGATAGCAAAAGCCTAGACTTTGGGAAAAGTAGTCAAAGTGGGTCTTTAATTTCTGGAGATGATGTGGGTTACAATTTTTCCCTCTGCAGTTATCCTTCCGGAAACCTTTTCCTTAATTGTAATTAGATATCCATATATATATATATATATATATATATATATATATATATATCCATATATAATTGTAAATATATATATATAGTGATCTTAGCCCAGAAGACAAAGAAACAATTTTTGGAAGAAAAAGGAAGAGACATAAAGACATAATAGCAATATATCACAGTTGTTGACAGCTGGGCCTCAAGTCAGGCCTTGGAATTCCGGTTCCATTGCTTACTAGTTCTGTGACCTTGGACAAGTTATTTGAAGTCTGAGTCTGATTTCCCTCAACAATTAAATGGGAAAGAACTAAGAACTACTCCCATAGGTTTGCCTTGAGGATGAAATGAAATAAGGCCTATAAAGACACAACATCTTTCTCAGTCAAGTTTAGCTAATAGGATTAGCCTTTTAGGAGTTACTGGAGAAATGAATCTATTTATTTAAGTACTTACAGGGATTTTTGTGTGTTTTTTCTCCTAAAACATTGTGTCTAGCACTGCCTAGAGAGCACTTGAATTGAGTGCCTGGGTGGCTTAATGGAAAGAAGACTGAACTGGAACTCAGGAGATTTTAGGCTCTTCTTTGCCTCTACCAGCTTTATAACCTTGTACTAGTTACTTTGTCAAATGATAGAGGTAGGAGTTGGAAGCCAAGTTGGCAGAGTGTTCTGAGACAACAGTGAACTAGATGAACTCTAATATTCCTTCCTGTGATTCCTTCCTGCTGTGATTCTTAGATTTTATATTGATTAAAGGAGCAACTGTATCTCTCTTGGTTGATAGTTCATTGATTAGAATGAAATTACTCTTTTTCTCTTTTTTCCCTTGTACTTTTTTATTGTTGACACTACTTTAGTTGTCCCCCATTTCCCCCCCTCCACCCAGCCCCTGCCCACCTTGAATTGAATTTATGGGGGTGACATTGGTTAATAAAATTATAAAGGTTTCAAGTGTATAGTTCAATAATACATTATGTGTATAATGTATTGTGTGTTCATCACCTGAGTCAAGTCTCCTTCATCACCATTTATCCCCCCCTTTACCCTCTTCTACCACCCCTACCCCCTTTTCCCTCTGGTAATCCACCATAATGTTGGCTGTCTGTGAGTTTTTTGTGGGTGTTTTTTGTTTTTGTTTTTTACTTACTCCTTTCTTAAAAGCTAATAAAAATGAAGAATAAGAACTTGGTAAATTTTAAAGTCCTTACATTTTAATTGGCTATTTAAATGCAAGGGTTTGACTTTGTCTCCCCCAAATGAGATTTGCTTGCATAAATTATTTGGAATTGAAGAGTAGTCTTTAATTAAAGAGTTTCTACTTAAACTATTTTCATCCTAATTCTGTTAAGGATATAAGCTTAATATTTATCTGATAGTTTTAGGGGTAATAAAATTAAATTTTGTTGCACTACCACTGTGTGCCCAGCACTCTGCATACACCTTGGTTTCTAAAGTGCTGAATTTTGGATAGCAGACTGCCTTGTTGGCAGAGAAAGGGTGGAGGACAAAAAGAAGTAGTGGTGGAGGAAACGTGGACAAGAAATGGCAATGTGAGCCCATCTGGTGTTGCTCAGTGGTTGAGTGTCAACCTATATACCAGGAGGTCAAGGTTGGATTCTTGGTCAGGGCATATGCCCTCATTGCCGGCTTGATCTCCAGTGTGGGGTGTGCAGGAGGCAACCGATCTATGATTCTCTCTCATCATTGATGTTTCTATCTCTCTCCCTCTCCCTTCCTCTCTGAAATCAATAAAACTATATTTTTTAAAAAGAATGTGAATCAAATTCTGGATTTACCATACAATAGCTTTGTGTCCTTAGTCAGATTATTTAACTTTACTGAGTCTCAGTTTCCCTATCCATAAGATGGCTATAATATTTACATTGCTGTGATTATTAATGATAACATGTGTAAACTACCTAGCAGATAATAAACACTCAAAGTTAATTATGATAATAAGTTGATGCTAACAAGATGTAAAAAAATAACATACAAATATATGATTATGCAACTGTTAGTTTGAAGACATGAAAACACTGGGAATCTAATCATGGCTGTTTTGCTTCAGAATACTATCCAATATAATAAAAGCCTAATATGCAAATAGACCGAACTGGCGGAACAACCGGTCGCTATGACGCACAGTGACCACCAGGGGGCAGATGCTCCATGCAGAAGCTGCCCCCTCGTGGTCAGTGCGCTCCCACAGGGGGAGTGCCATTCAGCCAGAAGCCAGGCTCATGGCTAGTGAGTGCAGCAGCGGTGACAGGAGCCTCTCCTGCCTCTGCTGCAGGCAGGTGGTAAGGAGCAAGGAGTCCAGGACTGTAAGAGGGCGCAGCCCTCCCCCCACCCAATGCATGAATCTCGTGCACCAGGTCTCTAGTATAGAAATAAACCCCTAAATGTTGATCACTTAATTAAATTACATCCAGAAAGGTATTTTAATACTTTAAAGATTTCTTATTATCTGAGATTATGACTATGGCAAAGTTTACCATTAGACTAATTAGCTATAAAAAAGCTAACTGGTTCCTTGAGGTATGGAATCACATTTATCTCTTGAACTTCTGGAGAAATTACTTTTCAACATGGGGGAAATCACTCTTTCACGTGTATTGTTGAACATTTGGCAAAGTGCTATTTCTCATTTGTTTTGCTCATTCCTGAGATAAATCCTAGGGTTCATTGTAATCTCTGGTCAAAAACGACCTATGTTGGATCTTAGTGGCAGAGAGTTAGTACTGAGGTTTAAGTGTTGATTATTTCAATATGTATTGCTATGAATTGCACAAGGGTCACCAAATGTGGAAAAGCCAGTGTTGTCTTCTTTGTTCACAAAATCTCTCTTCACCCACTGTCACAGGGGACTGTGCTTAAATTGTTTAATCTTTGAGTTTATGCTGAGCATCCACACTCTTACCTATTACAATCCTATGACCATGAAGACCCATTTGTTCCAAGACAACAGAACTAATTGGTTTAGTTCTGGCTTAGAACTGTTTTTAGAACAGTTGCTTTAAAACTGTTGTTTATCAGAGAGAAATTCCACTATGTAAGAGCAATTGATTAGAAAAATGAGGCTGTTTTTATGTATACTGACATTTTACAAAAGGTAAGCTGTAGCTTTGTATCAACTCATGCAGTTTATTTCTGTATAGTATTATTTGGGTTGCAAAGTATTCAGAAAATCCTGATTCACACAGATAATTGTAAATGATATACATTTATTAACAGCTTGCCTTGCTATCTCTCAATATTTTTCAGTCAAATTGATCCAGAAACCTGGAAGAAATTAAGAGAATATTTTGGTTTCAAAGTTTAATTACTATTCATATTTCTTAACTACGAAAATAAGATAAGAAGCAACCCAAACTTAGACTAAGCACTAATGCCTTTTAAAATGTAGGATTGTCACAATGAGACAAGGTACACATGTTTTTTGTTATTGTGCAACTAATTGTTCTGCTTTCACCATGCAGATGGGTCTGAACTTTGCATGCTGTCTAATTTAGCACATCCCACAGGTTCAAATGGTGTAGATACTTGCTTGTCAAATTTTCCTTGAGTCAACATGTGCAGGCATAAGTTTATTGAAAGATCTGTGTAGAGCTACAACCTTCATAACCCATAACACATTTATAAGAACTTGAAACATATTCAAAGGTATGGCAGGAGAGGCATTATTTCTGAGCACTGTAAGAAAGTGAATGAACTAAGTAGTTTAAGTTAATTATTGGGTAGAAAACAGTTGCTTCTATATAATGTTGGAAGACAGTAGAGCATATTAAGAGGTTGGCTCTGTCAATTACTATTATTAAAATCTTAGACCATTATTTTACTTCTCTAAGTCTCAGTTTTCTCCTATGTAAGATGGGCATAATAATAAACTTGCCTTATAAAGTTGCTGTTATTAAATGAAATAATACAGATGAAGTGTTTAAGACAGTTACTGACATATAGGAAATTGCTATAATTTTTTATCACAGTTAACATAGTTAAATGTATTTAGAAAATGAAAATAGAATCTTATGTTTGTAGTACACAATTTGAAAATGAATGGCCGAGAGTACTTCAAAGTCTACATTACCTGAAATCCTAAATTTAACTCTTTTTTGTTATTGTTGTCAATCCTCACCCAAGGATATTTTTTCCATTAATTTTTTCCATAGAGAGAGAGATTGGGAGGGGGAGAGAGAGAAAAACATCAATGGGAGAGAGATGATGTGAGAGAGACA